CTTCTCTGCACTGGCTCCCTGTAAAATTCAGAATAGAATTTAAAATCCTCCTCCTCACCTATAAAACTCTTCATGGTCAGGCCCCTTCTTATCTTAAAGAGCTTATAATACCCTATTACCCCACTAGAACACTGCGTTCTCTGAATGCAGGGCTACTTGTGGTTCCTATAGTCTCTAAAAGTAGAACAGGAGCCAGAGCCTTCAGTTACCAAGCTCCTCTCCTGTGGAACCAACTAACTTCACTTCCTTCTCCGGAGTTCTGTGCTTCTCGTCTGGCAGGTTCTCATGGACCTGGTGGAGCCTCCTGCCATGGTCCTGCTTGGACTACCCATTGCTAAAATCATCTGGATATTGTTATTATTATTAGTATTAATATTATTATTGCTACAGTTACGTTGTTAATGTTGCGTCTGCTCGCTGTCCCCCATCGTTGCTGGCTGTCATCGGTCTTTTTCAGATTGTCATCATCATTACTAATTAATGTAGTTTGTTGCTACCTGTTGTTGCTGTACATCTGTCTGTCTCTCTCTGTTTTTCTCTCTCTCTCTCTCACTCTCTTCCCACCTAGAGCCGACAGGGTCTGTTCTAGGTTCTGCTGTAAAAGGGCAAGTTTTTCCTTGCCCTTGTTGCCAAGGTGCTTGCTGCGATGTGGTACTGTTGGTCTCTGTAAATGTTAAAAGGATGTTCGGGTCTTAAACCTGCCTCTATTTGAAAAGTGTCCCTTGAAATAAAATTGAATTGAATTGAATTGAATTGAATTCCAAGAATCTTCAACAGTATTCAGTGGCTCTGATTGGCTGTTTTTGTTGAAGCTTAGTGGATTCTTGCAAATACCATTAGGAGTACTAGGAAGAGCCAGATATATATATATATATTTATAAAAATGTCCTACTGCAGCTTTAAAGCCTACAAACACCCATTCTGGACAAACCCTCTATGGATTCATATCTTCTAGTGATAGACATATGATGTAATATATTTAATGATTTCATATATAAATAAAACAGTGAACGATGTGTAAAGGCATTCGAATCTTTTGTATTTTCCAAACTTTACAAATAGTGCAAATGTAACATAAAAATCCAAATAAAAGATTTCCAACAGCAATCCTTTTACAGGCTAATTCACACAAGTGGTGGTAAGAGCTGCTACAACCAGTAGCTATGGCAACATGAGAACTGCAAACATCAACACACACACAAAATAAGACCTTTCAGGCCCAGAAATGTCACTGTTACAGAACGTCCTTGTACTGAAGTGAAAACACACAACCTTTCAGTGCAAAAACAAGGAGGAAGAATCTTGAAGCGCTAATTCAGTTTTAGCAAATGTTAATATTATGCTAACTAAGATTTGGCTTTTATCATGCAGACAAAAATCACCTTTCATTTCAGAACATTTGTCTCATGTAAGAGTTGTTATTTCCTACATTATTTCATGGATTAATTGAACACGCTTCAATACTTTAACCTGAAAATCAGTGGCAAAAGAAAACATGTACATGTACAAAATGTACAAACATTCCAATGTCCCAGTCATTATATGAATGCAGTCTAATCAAATGCTACAATAATGAGGGCTATACGCTTTGGTTTAAGGAACAAAACCAAATAAAGTAAACCAAAATCCTTGTGTTGGCCTGCCCTTCCAGTGGATAATGTTCTTTAAATAAATTAAAACCCTTTAAATAATTATAATAAGTTAGACTCCATTGTTCCAGTATGTGTCCCCTGCGGTCTTTGGCCTTTCCATTCCATTTGCACCTTCAACCCACTGGCTCCACTGGAGAAGCTGTCCAACATATATGATGTAAACATTTTAAAATCTCACATCAGACTGCATTACATTCACCTTTCTCTTTTACAAACGGACATATTTTTAGCTTTGTGAAAAAATAAATCAAACAGCTAACATAAGGGCTGGAAGACATGACCACAATCCAATTTAAATGAACTCCGCTGGTTGAAGTAAATCTGTGCAAAACTTGGGCAGTAAAACTAAATACTTTTTTCTAATGTAGCACATCTTAGCATCTTACAGTAATGCAACTGTGGTGACACATAACATGTTCAACAGTGTAGTTTCTTCTAGGGTTTGACCAATATTTGTTGTTCTACATGTATGTGGTCAAGACTGGCTTCAACCACGACTACAATCCAATCCAATCCAGTTTTTTAACCAAAACCCCAACCCTAATCAAGTAGTTTTTTAAGCCTAGTCCTAACCAAACCTTAACTAGAAGGAAAGCAGCTCATATCTGCACCAAACATATC